TATTGGCAATCAGAGCTTTCCCACAGGAGACAATATGGTCTGCAGGGTTAACAATATAAAAAGTTACAAATGTTTGTTTTTAACAGCAGGACAGTGTAAGTATAGATCTCAAATATATGAAACGGCAGGGCAAATTATATTTTCAAGGAAGCCAGAGGGACCTGGGAAAATAAAGGTTCACAAAGAATTATTCAAACATGTAATCTTAATCAGAGCTTTCCCACAGGAGACAATATGGTCTGCAGGGTTAACAATATAAAAAGTTACAAATGTTTGTTTTTAACAGCAGGACAGTGTAAGTATAGATCTCAAATATATGAAACGGCAGGGCAAATTATATTTTCAAGGAAGCCAGAGGGACCTGGGAAAATAAAGGTTCACAAAGAATTATTCAAACATGTAATCTTACCTAGACTATAGTTATGTTTGGACATACTCAAAATGACATACTGAATCTATCTCTACTGTGGTTCTGCTGAAATTTTATCTAAGTTTCTGTCCCCTAGTGAATTACCCCAGCCTAGTTTGTACTACATTTAATAGTGGGAAGCCTCATATTTTTGTTTCTGACTAGCGCGAAATAATTCCAGTTTCCTGCTTAAAGGAATTTAGTCAACTTGTAAATGACGCTTTGGTCTGGCTATTATGGGGGTGGAGTAGGGGGAGGGGCGGAGAGGAATCAGTATCTTTCTGTTGGTTTAGCTTTGTGCCTTTGGCAATGTTTGTGTGTAGTTTTTCCCCATTGATGATGATTGCATTTCCTCTGTCATGTACCAGCATGTTTACATCACTCCCATGTACTTCCCTTATGGGGAGTTCACTTCACTTTTCTCCAATCCCTTTCCAGGAGGGCTGCTGCTGCTGCTTATGAATCTGAGCCAGGAAAATCTTTCTCAAAAGCCCTGAATAGAAATGAGGAGCAGCAAGAATTGAGAGAGAGAGAGCAGGAGCCAAGGACTGTCTTCTGTGTTCTCCTCAAACCCCTGCCCATGGAAGAAACTTTTCACTGCTAAGGATTTCTGCAAGTCTTGTGGGAGAAGGTTAGAAGGTCTCATAGCCTAAGTTGTAAGGAAATTGTAGAGCGGGCAGGCAGAAGTGGGCACAGGGAGTAGGAAGAAGGGAGAGTCTAAGCGTGTTTAGTGACGATCCTTGACCACCTACTGTCCTTTGAGAAGACCTCTGTAAATTTTAGCAAGGAATCAGAGAAACCCTTAACTTTCGTTAATGTTTTCTGTTCCAGTGTTCTCGGTCTCAATTTTTGAAATTCACTATATTTTTTAAAAAATTGGTCACCTAGGTTTCAGTTAGTGGTTTTGAACCCAATATCAGTTAAAAAGTGTTTTTGGACTTTAGGATCTAAGGTCATCATTTGAAAGGTGCCTGGAGTCTAATCTCTTCAAGCCCTCTGTTGCTGATCAATAAGTCACAAATGTCTGAAATTGGTATGTTGAACAACTTTTCATTGGCTCAAAATAATTGAAATATACAATGGCTTTTAAAGCTGGAACACAATTAAAAACTGTAAGGACTAGAGACGTTAAGGATCATTTATTTTACTAATCGAGTACTCGATGGAATTTCCATCGACTACTCAACTAGTGGATACACACTTCCGCATACGGAACTTGGAGTGTAGCCTGGGGCCAGTGGGAAGTCCTGCTGACTCCGGGCTGCACACGGGCATGCCAGCTTTGAAGTATACATGAGTCCCCAGAGGGGGCTCTTGTGCATTTCAAATTGGCAGCGCAGCATGGAGCCTGGGGTCAGCAGGGGACTCCCCAGCTGACCCCGGGCTCCAGTGACACTGCCGCCTCGAAACGCCACCTCGGTGTTTCAAAAGGGCAACACTACACAGCTGAGCCAGGGATCAGTTGTGTGGCGCTGCTGCTTTGAAGTATCTCCTTTTTCCCCCCTTTGCTGTCTCTGATAGAGGCAGCAAGGGCAGGGAATCGACTAGTCAACTGACTGTCCGATAAGCATTTGCTTATTGACTAGTCCTTAACATCCTTAGTAAGGACAAGAACAAAGTGAAAAATGAGAGAATAAAAAATGGTGGGAGCTGCTGTCTGTGGAGGGCCTTAAGGGTTTGTCTACACTGCACCGTAGGCCGAAACAAGATACACAATTTGTGTAGCTCCAATTGCATATCTTATTTCGATATGGCACTGTCTACACAGCACTTATTTTGAAATAAATCACTATTCCAAAATGTCTCTTATTCCTTGTGGAATGAGGTTTACAGGGACTACGGACTAGCGAGCCTGCTATATTTTGAAATAACGGCCACCCTCCAAAAATGCGGAATAGTTGTTTTGGGATACCTCTGGTATCCCGAAATAGCGCTGCAATGTAGACATAACCTAACTGTGCTTAACAGTACCCCTTGTAATGAATGTCTAAGGTCAACAGACCCACCTTGTTGGCAGGTGGGATTGAACCTGGGACCGTAGGGCTAAAGTCATATGCCTCTACTGCATGAGCTAAAAGACACTACTCTCCCTTTCTCAGTGGTCTCAGGATTACAAAATTTCTGTTTTTTATAGACTAAACTGTCTGCTTCGAGAGCAATGTCCAAATAGCCCCAGTCTTAAGACAGTTTCTGTTCTATGCATGTGTTGAATGGCCACATGAGACTATAGAAGTGTGGCCAGGCTCAGTGTTCTCAGATCTTCCCTACAACCTTCTTGTTTTTTCCTCTCTTGTGTTTTATTTTTAAAGAGAATTGTATTTGTAAGCAGTTTATACAATGATAATTGTAATTATGCACAAAACCATACAAATGCCAAATTAAACATCTTCTTTGATCAGTAACAGTTTCCTTTGTATTCATGTCTAGAAACAGACTTTTTTTGTCCTCATTCCAATTGCCCTTCATTGTTTTCAATTCCTTATTCAGACTGAGTACAAGTAATGCATTTATTGGGATGATATTATAGGGCATTGGTCACTTCGTCATCAAATTTTATTTCTCCTATGGCGTGCACTGACTTCCCATTTAATTCTGAATAATTTAACAGTTATTGAAATAGTCTTGTGCTCTGTCCACTGGACAGTGTTGCTTCATATTGTGCTCGAAGGTTGAACTTATTAAGATTATAAACTGTTTCTTGTGGCATCTAGTGCTACGATCTGTCTTGATTTACATTCTTGAGGCAAGTAATATTTTCCTCTTTTAGAGTCGCCTCAAAACTAACTAACGAGATGTGAGATGTGCCAATTAGTAAGCTAAGTCTGGAGTAAGTTTTTAACATTGCTGTGTTTAACAACTGAATATTGGGCATAAGGGAATTTCTTCAGGAGCAACAGATTTCAGTGGCTTGAACAGAAAAATGCTCTAGAATTAGACAGGATCATAGAATTATGCTGAATGAGTTTCTACTCTCACTACCTTATTAACCCTGATAATCTGTTCATTTTCTCCTGAGAAGCCTGTGATACGGTAGGATATGCCCACCAAGGAGGCTATGTCAAACTCCATGGAGCTGCAGCGTACTACATTCAGGGATGTTTGTTTTGTTGGACCAAAAAAAGAAACTAGAAAAGGAGGTAGTATAGTGTGTTGTCTACACCTCCGAGGATTTATTTTTGGTTTTAATCACTTTTTCCTAGTTTAATCTTTAAAACACTTAACGTGCTTTTCTTCACTCCTATCATGGCTATTAATTATCAAATTTATTTCCAGTTTGTGTCACTTTTGAGTTCTTCCTATCCCTGTCACTTCTCCTACTACTTTCCCCTGTAGTCTCTTTGGAGAACTTTTAACCCAGTCTCATTGTGCAGATCAGCACCATCTTGGGATGATGGCTGTGCCAGACCACATTTATGGTAGATGCCAAAGTTTTGCATAGTGTGTGTGTGTGTATCTTGTCTGGGCTTGTCTTAGTTTTGCCCCAAGCAGGTCCTCAAAATTCTAGTTCTTAAGATTTATATTCTGCAAATGTCTGTGTTAAAGGTGTATTTTATGAGAGAGAATTTATATAAGCCAGACTTTTTACTCCTTCCCCTTTGTTTGAGTCAAGCTCACTTTCGGGTATGGAAGAAAAAATTGGTTGTTTAAATATCTTATGGTTTATAGATGCCTTGTGTTAAATATTGTTTGAATGTATTGTGCAACAGTGATCACTAATCATTTTAGTTAGACAAGTAATCTACTTCATGCTGCCTTTAAAGTTTTGTTTTTAATAGCAATGTAAAAATTTTAAATATTTTAAACACCAAAGAACCTTATTCATCTGAATACCCCATAATTCTTACATATAGCTAGCTGTCTTCTTTCACTGCTTCTCAAAGATTTAATATAGCACTGTACTAAGAATCCATTACCTCTTACAACTAAATGACTTCCCAAATGAACAAAGCATGTTTTTTGATTTCTCGCTACTTAGCTTGCCTTTTTAAAAGAAAAATCCAGTAATTCCCAGTTCTCAGTATATATAAATAGTATTCCAGTGAATATGTATCCTTCCTGCAGGTAAGACGTGAAATTGTCTTAACACAAGTCTAGGCTGAGTTTCTGTTTGACTCCCAGAGCCTTCAAAATAGTCTGCCTGACTGGCTTCTGCAAAGCACTTTACCCTGCCCCACCCTATTGCATGCACAGATTGCACTGCACGTATTCCTCCTGTGTGACTAAAAGTTTGTTTCATCAGCATCTGTTTCTTTTCTACTTTCGGAGCTTGCTTTGGATCGGGAAGCTGCTCAGAACGACAGTCTACTTGGGGCACATAGGAGCACTTGTCGCTATATGTATAAATTTTTCATGGAAAATGTCTTTCTCGAAGGCTGTCAGTGCCCATTGTTTTACAGTACATGAACAGTTGGCTAGTCCAGGTGTTTCCTCTCTTGTTTTCGTGATATGTGGATTGGAAATTCAAGAGAAGCCTTTGCAGAATGGAAGAGCTGAGGGTTTGTATTTATCCGTCCTAACTGCATAGCAATGAGTGGATTTGGTTGTGTGCGCTTGTTAATTAAAAAGTGTGTATTATTTTTATCCTTTGACTCCTTTAAATCTGTTAGTATTTGTTAGTGACTTTACAAGCTCTTAAATTAGTGTGCATTCCTGTTTTATATGGAATAGTTTTATAATGAATGCTATTCTGAAATGGCCTCTTCTATTCAACACTAATGATTTCATGTCTTTTTTTTTTTTTTTTTTGTGCGCTTTAAAGTGGGGAAAAAGTACAGTTCTAGTCAACATAACTATATTTAAGTTTGAAAGTTGAACTGATTAAAAAAAAAAAGGAATACTAGTCTTGGATGTAACAAAATGAAAGTTGCTGGCTGTAGATGAGATTAGTGATTGCTCAGAGGGCATCTGTGTCTTTGGGGTGGCCTGGCAGCCCGAAGGAAATTCCTGACTCATATCTGTCTCTTTACAGGACAGTCGGCCAAATATGTCAAGACCTCTGATCACTAGATCCCCTGCATCTCCATTGAACAATCAAGGCATCCCCACTCCAGCACAGCTCACAAAATCCAACGCACCAGTTCATATTGATGTGGGTGGGCACATGTACACCAGCAGCTTGGCCACGCTTACTAAATACCCTGATTCCAGGTAAAGATTGCATTGTATGCATGTGGCCATTCATTGATTTTAGTTTTATGCTTTGATATTATGGGACTCGCTTCTCAAAATTTTACTCCTTTTGTTTGAAATGAGCTTAGTTACTCCTGGTGGGATTCTGTGCCAAAATATTAAAAAACTAAAATTTCTGCACACAATTTAAATTCTGCATTTTTTTTTGTCAAAATAACACAATATTATCAAGCTGGCTTCATTGAATTTGGTAATGTATTTAAACTGCAATGCAATGGATGGAGAATGGGAGTAGGAGAGCATGGGAGGAATCACCAGACTCCTTCTGTCTAATAGCAGTGTAGCTAGTATTGACCATTTACATCTAGCTGTTAGTCAACAAATACGTGCAGCCATATGCTCAGTGTTACATCAGAAACAAATGAAGAACAAGTGAGGGCTGGGGACTCGAAGTCACCATTTAAGTTGGCTACTGACCATCTCCAAAAATGTCGGTAGCAAACAATTCATTGAGTACGTTTTTTATAAGAAATTTTTCCAGTCTAAAAATTTAGACCTGTTCTAATCACTAAAGCATCATAAGCATTTATAAGGCCATCTTGTCCTTTTATAATAAGGCTCCTTTACCCCAGTCTGACAACGTAAAAGAGGGATACATTACCAATATTCCTTGGTGGAGTTCATTAAGAACAATGGGAACAATTCACTAAGCAGGAAGGCAGCTACATTCTGCTCTGACTGTGGGAATGAAGCTTGCCCCCCTCACCTACTTCTTCAGAAACACACCAAGGCATATTCCTACACTCAGAGCATGCCACTGTAGTGAGTGAAAGGGGCTGTGTTTCTCTTTCACATGCATGACTACCAGCCCCTCCCCAGTGCTGATTTATTTTTGTCAGCTGTTCTGGCTGCCCAAACTGAGCTGCCTGCACTGCTGGGTAGGAGGTGGATGGCCACTCTTGCAGCTTCCCTTTGCTATATGTTGTTTTTCTGCAGGGAAGCAAAGAAATCTGCGGGGGCAATGAATACTGTGCACGTTCAGTGTTGTAGAGTTCCCCCAGGAGTACTTAGTATTTCTGAGTTTGTAGGAGGTGTCAGGTTGATCTTTCTTCCTCTTCTACTGTACATCTCTGACTAAAGACACATCTTTGCAAATCTCTTTACATATGACTTAAAATATAGTTGGCTCCAAAACATATATTGTATAAGATTTGTTAATATGCACTAATTTTCTGTGACTACTTATATGAAAAATCTAATCCTATGTTTACAGATTTACATGCAATTTAAAACAAAATTTTGAGCAGTATTTACTTTCCTTCACTGTCAACATTTAATACCAGGCAACTCAGGTTTAAAATACAGTTAAGATTGTAAACTGTTTAATAATACTAATTTAAAAACCTTTACAGATTATTTGTATTTTTAAAACAATTGCAATTATCTGTGGAATCCTGAATCTGCTCTTCTATCCCCAATTTTACACTAATGGGTTTTAGATTGTGAGTATTAACTAATTCTAAGAAAGTTTCACATCTGTGGACAAATTATGTTATGTAGATGGAGCAAAGTTCCGTCATTGGCATGGGGGTTATTTTGCAGGGTGTCTTTTTAATGAAAAAACAATGGGAAAAACAAAACCAAAAAAACCTCCAAAACATAAGTTTGATAATTCCTCAGTTATTTTTGTGTGTGGCATAATTCCAGAACTTGAACCAGTGTTACTGTTAATCTATTTTGGCTAAGTTAAAAAACAAAAATGAACAGAGAGAAGAGATTCTTGTAAAAATGTGGACCATATTTATTAAATATCCCTTCGTTTATCACTAGAAGCAGATGATCCCAATTTCACAACTCCACAAAATGAGCCATGAAATTGACGTGGTGCATCTGAGCTGTTCTGAGTGACTGTCCATGTGGATTCTCTATTTGTCGCACATGTGTGAGATCAGATTTTTTTTTTTCTTTTTGCCCAACGGTGTCTGTGGCCATGCTTACATTTAATCTCCCAACCTCTCCATCTGAAGGCATAAAGTCCAACCATCCTTTGATTTCTTCTTATTGCCTGTGGCTGTAAGATGGAACCCATGCAGTGTCAGTCTTGTCTTTGCACACTGTTAGTTTTGCTTAGCTGGATAAAATCATACTTATTTTAATTAGTGCTACAGAATCATGGAATCCTAGGATTGGAAGGGACCTTGAGAGGTCATCTAGTCCAGTCCTCTGCCCTCATAGCAGAACTAAGTATTAACTAGAGCAGTGGTTCTCAAAATTTGGCCCATGGCACACCTGGCTCAATGCAAACCTTTCTATGGACCACCAGTTGCTAATGGAGACTCACCGTTAATTACATAATTATGCCCAAGCCATTTTGCTAGTGCTGGAGCTAAGGAGAATGGTTTTAATGTAACCAATCAGGAAATATTAATTTAAATGATTAAACTGACTAAGCACTTTAACTTTCTCATGTTAGCTTATCAAACTTTGTTTTAAATAAAGTAAAATATTAATTTATGTCCAAAACAAAAAGTTCCCATGTTTGTTTTCTTTATGGCAGGGGTGGGGAACCTTTGTGGATGAGGAGCCACTGACCCACACAAGTCAGAAGCAAAAGCAAAACAAAACCAAAACTCCTCAAAAATCACCAGCCCTCATGGAGGACTGAGGCCAGATTAACTCTTCTGGGGTTCCAGGGTTAGTGGATTTTGTGACCCCCTCCCCCCCCCCCCCCCCCCCGGGGGGGGGAGATGATGGGGGT